ATCGCAAGTGCGCTTGGCCAGGTGCACAGGTTCTGTCTGACATTCCAGAAGCAAACCTCAAACTTCGTGCTCCAGCGCCTACTTGCCAGTCATGCTGGAGAGTGATTACTACCAGCAACTTCCAAGGTTAAACAACAAAAACGAGAAGTTGATCGGTCACCAGACCTTACTTGATACGGATGATAGTAAGATGCTATGCAGTAGTCCTCATGTGCGTGGTTCTGGTCGTCAGCATGGACGGCTGGTTAAGCCAAAAGCTTGCGATCATTCAAGCACGTGCATAATGCCTGCCCGCGTTCCAAGCCAGGATTAATGTCAGAAGGTGTGTTGAAGGCAGTCATGCGATACAGCTGCTTCTGGGGCTTGCAGATGGCCAAGAGCGTCGCACTATATACATAGTTTCTACGTCAGAGAACAGTCGCACATGTCGACTACGCTTGCCCAGTTTATAAGAAACGGAACCCAGGACCTTCCCAGCATAACAAGCCGACATACCGCGTTGTCATCTTCGATTAGGTTCTGGTGAAGAAGTCCCTCTTAAGGATGTCGTGCTTGGGAACGATAGACAGGCGTTTCCAGAACCAGGGGGCCCCGGGCATAGACTGCAACATATGATATTCCTTGTTATAGGGACTGCCCTAAAACCTCAATTACCACAGTTTTTTTGGAACCCAAACGCATATCACCCCACGTGGTTCTAGGCCTCACGGGGCCACTGTGAGCCTTGGCATTTTGGATCAAGTGCTAGGTCTGCAGACCAGGGCCGACTACAGTAGGGTTTGCAGGTCTTGGGGTTTGGGGCTTTGGGCGCAGGGTTGAGAGTGCATTTGTGCCGGTTTCCTAGTTTTCATATGCCTCGCTGCCTCTGCATGCTGCCTTCTCCGGATAAGGAACACGGGCAATAAGACAATCAAACAGCCTTAGTTGCATTGTTTTTCCAGTCACTTTAATGGGTGCCAGAAGGCATATGCTCTGGTCAAATGGTTAATGAATGCAGGTACACTTTCCGATGCTGACGTCAGTGATGGGTGATCTTGCTCATTCTTCGAAACAAGTGACTGTAGAATGATGGGAGGAGGCCCTTAGCCCACCTTCACGATATGAAGATTCCTTTCCATCGTTGTGACTTGGCAGCGTTTTTGACCTCAAGCTCCCACGTTTGCGAGCAGGGAATCCCTTTTCAGAACCCAACAGCAAGGTGCATCCTGATAGAGGGCCTTGCACTGTCAAAGGCGAAACCTCAAAGTTCAAGGTAACCCTCAACCACAACTGGGACAATTCTTCTGAGCCTGCTTGGCAGCTTCCTCCTAACTACTCACCAGGCCCATATCCTGATTACTCATCATGGCCCTACCCAGAGACTGTACACACTGTAGTGCATATGAGCTATAGTCTAAACTCCTAGTATCCCCCTTAATAAGCCCTATAGTAGTCCCCTATATAACGCCCTACATAACCCCCTTGAAGCAGTTTAGAGGGTAGACCACATGTCAGATCGACGCTTCAGGGTTTACGGATCTTAGGCGCTGAATTTCTCCTGAAGACAACACGCGCTCCTGGCAAGAAGCGGTGGCCAGGCTGGGGATACCACTGCCTTCGAATATCCCCTTTATAACCCCAATATACCATAGTAGTTTCCTTTTCTTTTCCCCTCTGTTCGAGATGTGAACTTCTACAAGCCACACGGCTCCTGTGAAGCCCCCAAGTATCTCCAGAATGAACCATACTTATGTGACCCTAAGCAAATATCTTACTATTTCTCACATATTGGGAGGTCCTTGTTCCTCCGGATTTCGGGGACGCAGCTAGAATCCCCGAAATCCCTACATATAGTACCAACCCCGATATGGTGCCAGTGTTTATTCAATGCTCCATTTTCTTGTCAGTTTGACTCTCCAGTATCAATCCAGACCCTGGTCTCGAGAAGCTCCAAAATGCAGTCGCAAACCTGAAAACTGAGCTCTGATATCCTGCTTTGTTGCTCTAAACCCCCCAAACTATACAACCTAAACCCCAAATCCTAAGCCCTAAACCCTAAACCCTAACTCCTAAGCCCTAAACCCTAAATCCTAAACCCTAATCCTTCACCCAACCAAAAAAACCCTGTAATCCTATGCCACCCACCGAGGCCCCTTCAGTTGCCCACCCGCCCCCCAACTTCGTTCTTGGCTCGAGCTTGAGCCGCCAAAGAAAAAGAATGAGGGTATATAGGGTTATATGGGGTTTAGGTTGTTAGGGCTTTAGGGTATATAGGGTTGTATGGGGTTTAGGGTTGTAGGGTTTTATGGTATATAGGGTTTTATGGGGTTTAGGGTTTTAGGGGTTTGTGGGGTTTAGGGTTTTAGATGGTTTCAAGGCAGTTAGGGTTCTAGGGTTTAGGGCTAATTGGGCTACAGTGCGTGGGGTTTGGGCTTTAGGGCTTTAGGGTTTGGGGGTATATGGTAGTTTCCCAAATCAGGGGACCCAATGTAGAGCCCCAAACACTCTAATCCTTACTATAGGGACCCCCAAAATGGTACCCCTAATTTTGGGAGACCCCCATATTATAAACTGGTTTACGGAAAGGGTTGAGTGGGAAGCCACAGGCTACTGGCCATAGGGGTTGCTTTAACGTGAGTTACGGGGGCTATATCGGGGCAATAGCGTTCAGGGGTATACTTTATTATTGAGTTAAAGCAATGGAGAAGCAAATGGAACCAGAAATTGAACATGACATCTGGGGCTTCAAAAGAGGGTGCTGGAATTGAAGTAGGGTTGTAGGCTGAAAGGTTTTTATACAGCTACCCACAGTAGGTTCCTTTGGGACAAACATTTGGCTACATTAGAACTGCATGGATTCCACTGCGACCTCACTCTGTGCAAGATGACCAAACTTCATACAACAGTTTCCAGTTCCATATCCTTTAAGGGTGGCACAGACATGGCAACTCTACACTGATGCTCATGTTCCTTTCCTGCTTGGCCGCTTGCATGACCATTCTTCTGACTTGGCATTTTCTCAAAAACCGAACGCCGGGGTCCTTTGCCTATAATACTCGCCTATACAACCCCCTTTAAAGAGTGTAGACTATAGTTTTGTGGGTTGGTCTCGAAGCTCAGGATCTCGGTCTGGAGACATTCTATGGCTAAGGTTAAGGGTTCAGGGTTTATGATGGTTAAAGGTTTAGTGCGGATAGTGGACCCTAAGCCCGAGACCCTTAACCCTAAACCGACTGACTGGAGACCAAGGAGGGATTCTATGTTTGCAGATCTTGGGTATCTTTCAGGAGCACCCCCACCCTGTAACAGTGATATAATAGGAATCCTATATGATGTATTCCAAGAATCCCTTATAGTCACTGTTACTAGGGAGGGGATCCACCTAAGGTATTCCTGATTGCAGAGTAGGTTGCTGTTGGTACGTGTGTCTCCTACAACTACACCAGCTGTTCCTAAGGACTAGCTTGGTGATACCTTAGGTGTACCCCCACCCTGTAATGGTGGCTTATAAGAGATGTTGGATTTAGGGTTCAGGATTTAGGGCGTAGGGTGATTATACTTGGGTTCTCTTATATTCCTGCTATAC